CTCATTATTGGATTGGCAATGAAGGAAAAAAACCCAAGATTTTGGTATCAAATTGATCCCCAAAGTGGCCCCAAGAGTACCCCCCAATCCAGCCTCCCTGGACAGGTCTGGCACTACAAGAAATCCCCTTTCCATGTTGAAGATATAGGGTGGCTGATGAACTTGTTGACAGCCAACCACTTGAGACATCGGAGATGGGGTGAGTTTGCCCAAGTCAGACTCTTTTGAGAGAGGTGCTATTCTGCAAAAATAGAAATGATTTTTCTGCAAAAATTGGAAATGACTTAGGTGTATTTCTGCTGAGGCTCCTTTTGCTTAAGAAAACTCCTGCTTTTTCCCCCCTTAGTGTGTATGATTCACTCCACTATTTGGTATACTTTGAGAAAAAGAAAACTAAATATAATAAAGTCAATAACTTGGCCAAGTTTCAAGTGTGCATGCTGAGACGCTCGATTCCACACATCTAGTTCCCCTTCATGGGAACATATGGTTCTTCCTTGTGGAAATATTTGTGGCACCACTGGTTTAGGAATCATGATTAATTAGAATTACAGAACCTAGAGATTTTCCCCCACCCGGTCTTTCTATTCCCATCTGTCAGTCAGTCTTGGTTTTGGGAATTCCCTCTAGTTGTGTGTGTGTGTGTGTGTGTGTGTGTGTGTGTGTGTGCACATGCGCGCACGCATATGTGTTTTGCTTTGTTTTCATCTGTTGTTGGCCCTTCAATGCTGCATCAATCCCTGCCAGTAGATCTTGGGTGAATAGGTCCTGCATAACTGTAAGCCTATGATTAAGAAAAAGATGGTGATTCACTGTAACACATTCTGGTCATTGGATGATATTCTGAATTATACAATCTCACAATTGAGGCTGGCATGTCAGAGAACAGATAAATGGAAGATTTTTTTTTTATGTGTTGGCATTTATGCAGTTACATGATAAGAAGTTTGAACAGACAGAAACTAAGTAAATGGTGCCCAAAAAAGTCACCACTTCTGGTGTGTTAGGCTAGCAAAACACCTGAAGAAAAAGTTGAGAATTATTTAAACACTTTTTATCTTAATTTTAATCCTGTGCTGCCTGGTCTGGCACTGGTTCCAATTTTTGTGCCCTTCTTTGCACACAGGGAAGGCCCACACTTTGAAAAGGACTCGACAGCAGTAAGTCCCCTGCTCTTGACACTGCTAGATTATAACCCAAGGACAAAAATGACCTTCCTTTTAAAATTGGATGATATCTGAATTATACAATCCCATTTGGCTATGCTGAGGCAAAGCAATTCTTGCAATGATGCACCCTTTGTCATGAGTGCACAGGGAGATCAGCAGGATGTGTATCTGTAAAAATAATAGGAGAATAAAATGGAAGTTAGAGCTCAAAAACTTCAGTGTCTTTAATCAGGCTTTGCAATTCCTGGTTAAGAAAAGTGATCAGGCAATCTTGGAAATGAGCCTGGGCACTGAGAAGGCTGGCATTAACCAGAGGGCAAAAGACAATGGCTGTGAGATGAGCCAAAGGGCCCCATAGGAGCCCTGGATACAGTCAATAGTAAGGACTCAACTGAAGTATATATACTTCTTTATGGCCATGATGGGAGTGACAACTCAGACTCAACAGCATCCACTGCTCCAACCCTTTGAATAGAAGCTGGGAGAACAGAATTTGAGGCACAGATTTTTACACATGCTAGACTGTCCAATTCTTCTCCTGGAAGGAGATTTGTTGTGGAGATTAAATGCTCAAAAACCTCACCCAAAAAGCAGTGACTCCATTTGCAAGTGCCACTGAAAAACACACTCCAGTTCCAGCTTTCACTTGCCAACCAAACCAGGAAAAGAAACTGAGCTCACTTTGCTGAAAGTTTGTTTAAAAAAAATGAGTAAGGCCATATGGGTTAGCAGGACCCCAGGAAGGCAGATCAACAGTATCCCAATCAAGATGGAGGGAGTAACCTGCCACAGTAAGAAACAATATTCCTCTTAAGAGGATCCAGCCTCTTCTAAGACGAATTTTTTAAACAAAGAATCAGCTTTGCCAGATCCCCTATAATACTACAATCCTGGTTGTTAACAAACCTCACACTGATGAGTATTTAAGTGTATAAGACTTGGAAGCTATAAGTAATAATGCCCAGGACATTCACCCCACAGTGCCAAATTCCTACACCCTGCAGACAGTAATTCCAGGTGACTATGATTGGCTCAGTGCTGGACTTACAAGGAGGATTCTTCTCCATTCCACAGGAAAGCAAGTCCCAATTACCATTTCCTTTTGAGAGGTAGGACCCCAAAACCAAAGTAACCACACAGTGTTGCTGGACTATCCTACCTCCAAGATTTAAAAACTCTCACACTTTGTATAAGGAAAGTCTAGCAAAAGACCTGGGGGAGTTATGGCTAGATCAAGAAATCCTTTCACAAGTGGGTGACCTGTTTATAGCCAACTGTAAAAGACACAGAATGCTATAGAAATGCAGGCTTTTGATGATTGGCAGAGAGATATAACCCAAATGTCCCATGCCATGGGAAACTTGAGCTGTTTGCTGATACTGGTAGACATCTTCTCAGGGTGGGTTGAGCCTTATCCTACTAGCAAAAGAAAAGCTAAGGAAATTACAAAAGCCATCTTAAATGAGCCAACCCCAAGACATGGATTCCTCTCCTGGGTACAGACTGACAAATGACTATCTTCCATTACAAAGTAACACAATAAGTGAGCAAAACATAGGATATCCAATAGAAGCTGCTTGTATCCTGAAGACCCCAATCTACAGGAAAAATGGAAAAGATGAATCAGATCTTAAAGAAATGGTGACCAAATTACATCAAGGACTCATGTGCAGTGGGATAAGGTATTACCAATTATTCCCTTCGACTAGAGTGGTCCCCATAAGCAGACTTAAAATGAGCCCCTGTCAAATACTGTATGGGAGACCGCTCCTAGAGCCCCAAAGGGAGAAGGGCAAACATGGCTATTGAAGAAAAAAACTAGATTAGAACACTATGTACAACATATCAGACAAATATTAACTGTCCTATGTGAGTATGCTTCCTTTAGGTCCCCACCAAGGGTCAAACAGGGCTGCATCCCTTCTTGTGAAAGCCCAGAAGGAAAAATGACAATAATAGGCAAAAAGACTTCCATTGTAAGGATCCCCTTTATCATCTATTTTTAGCAGGAAATAGCTAGGAGATGTTGTCACCCATTTTCCTTAGAAATGGAGGAAAAAATTGACAATAGGGAAATGTAACAGGATTCCATTTTATGCTTTGAGAACAAACTTTGCTGCCCAACCTCAGGTGGGTTGTTTTAACACAGACATGTATTTCTTTCCTTACTTCTTCTTCTCCATCCCCCTTTCCTAAAAGTATAGAAAAGGAGACTAAGACTGTTCCAATACCCTAATAAGCTATCGTGTCCTTCTCTGACTAAAGAAATATCACTTCTCATGTGAAAAAACAGTAAAAATGAGAAGTAAAAACATGAATAAACTGTAAAAATGGGAACTGGAGCAATAACTGTCTTGAGGAATGCACTGATCACTCATTTTAATATTTGTTAATATTTGGATCCCAGCCCTTGTTCTTCTTTTTTTTTAATATGCTTTCCTTTTCCATCACAACTTATGTCCAAGTTTGACTTATGTTCTTATATTTTCCTGTACTTTTAGCCCATCTTTCACTAGCAGATTCTAATACCTCTCATTATTATWTMTYTSTSTGTGTGTGTRTGTRTGTGTGTGTGTGTGTGTGTGTGTGTGTGTGAAATAAGAGACTTAGAGTGTGTAATCACTGGTCGAGTGGTCATAAGTATATGTGACATAGTCTCTTCCAGTCCGGAGAATGTCCATCCTCAGAGGAGTCCTCTTTGGCAGGTAACAGCCTGCATACCCTCACTTGTGGATGTCATAGAAGGTTAAGTCATGGACTTTTTAGGGGTGATTTTTTCCTTACTGTAAAGTTCTACTAAAAAAAAAAAGTTTTTTAAGTTTTCTTTTTTAAATTTATATATAACAGAAGAATGCATTCCAATTCTTATTACACATATAGAGCACAATTTTTCATATCTCTGGTTGTATACGTAGTATATTCACACCAATTTGTGTCTGCATACCTGTACTTTGGATAATAATGATCATCACATCCCACCATCATTAATAACCCCATGCCCCATCCCTTCCCCTCCCACCCCTCTGCCCTATCCTTGTTCCTCTTTTAAAAGCCTGGTTTTACCCCTGGCAGGGAGAATCCCAGCCTCTGGGACAGCAGTCCCGGTTTCTCCATTGCTAGCAGATCAATACAACTTTTACCTTTTTCTCAAAACTCTTTCCTCATTATTGGATTGGCAACAGAGACAAGAACTGAGCTTTCAGTATTAAAACTGTTGGGACATCCCACAAATTCCTGGCTAAAGGCAAATTCCTGGGATCTCCAGAGATCCTGTGATACTCCAGAGATTCATGCTTTCTTCCACCTGCACCTGTCTTGTCTGCACTGCAGCAGCTCACTCTTACCAGGGGCAAGGATGTTTATACATGAGTGAGTCCAATAAAGAGGACTGCAAAAGCTCCCACCCCAAGGCCACAGTGTGTGCAAATGAAAACACCTTTGAAAATGTGCCCCAAATAAGGGAGAATTTTTAGACTCTATAAAGCCCACCCCTGCAACCCTGACACATGAATAAAAACTTTACCCTTTTTGTTGTTGCTGCTGATCCAAGAGCCAGCCTAGCACTGTTGGTCAGAGCTGTCTCTCCCTTTCGGCTTTAGCAGAGGCTCAATACAGTTTCCCTAGGTTTGGGCGCTGGATGCATTCACTTTCTGTCTCAGGTCTCATGCCTACCCAGGGGAGAGGGCTGAGAGTTTCCCCTTCTTGTGCTCTGGGGACGCGGTTTGCGGACCCAGGACACAGCTGCAGCTGCAGCAGAGCCTTCCTGGAACCAGGACGGCCACACACACACACACACACACACACACACACACACACATACCCAGCACTCACCGCGGGCGGCTCCTGCACAGGGAGGCTGCTCTTAGGGCTGGGGACTGTGAGCTGGGTCCAGTGGACCAGGCTTCCCTGAGCGGGGCTCCAATCTGCGCGGTCAGGGCGCTGGTGGCGTCTCTCGGACGGGTCTGCTCCCCAAGCTTTTACCCAGTCTGGGCGGGCGGAAGGAAGACGAATGCAGCCAAGGACGATCACAATAAACACCAGGAACTGAGAACCCAGTCACAGAGAGCATGCAGGGACAAATCAAAAACACTGTTTTTTTTTTTTTTTTTTTTTTTTTTTTTTTTTTTTTTTTTTTTTTTTTACAGATAAGAAAAGTTTACAGGAGGTGGACCTATTGATCTGTGATTCACACAGAAGCAGCCCGTGGGGGTGGGGTGGGGGGTGATGGGCTGAATGAAGAAGAGACATAACTGTAACTGTCACATTTCCATGGCATTTTATAGTGTGCAGCAGTCTTAACATACTTTTCTATTATCGGGCTTCACAAAAACTGTCGTTATATAATTATGCTCATTTTCTAGAAAACGGAATTCAATCTTAGGAGAGTTAATAGCTGTCCAGTATCCCAAGACACCAAGAACCACAATCATGAAYCCCAGAGGCAGATATTCAGGTTGGGGTAAACAAACTCTGAGCCAAATCATCTGATTCCAAATCCAGGGGTCATTGAGGGGCAGTTGAATTGCCATCCCCACCAACTAAGGATGTAACTGACTCCTAGAGTGTACAAAACTGTCACTTGAAGCCATCTGGGATAGCCAGACATGGTACAAGAGAGCACTGAGCTCCTGTTTGCTGGTAAAAGGTCTGTTACAATAATCATTCTTCAAAGCTGGAAGAATGCTGGAGAACCTGCCTCACACCAAGGAAGTCTGTTGCTTCCCTTTCACTGAAGCAAAAAGCCAGTTTCTGAGAATTTCAAAATCAAAAGTCAGTATATTACTGTTTAAGCTCAACAGGAAAATAAGAAAGATCCATTTTTAAATCAGTGCCCAAAGCACTTTGATTTACATATTTACCTGTAACTATACCATATTTACAAGTCCAAATTTTTAAATAATTTAAAATTTTAAAAAATTCCCCTTAAAAACAACAAACCAACAGGCTAAAACCCCAGAATGGTGTATAGTAATCAATCCACCCAAAGTATATTCTAATTTTATGTTAATTGAAAGTAATCAACTGAATTGTTTAGTTGGCTTTGGAGCCTCAACCTTACACTTTCATGTCAACTTTGTTTACTTAAATGGCTCCAGATCCACAGAAGGACTCTGCATTCTATCTGTGTCCACCCCTTGGTGGGAGCTGGGCAGACAGCGTTCTCCCTGGGAATACTGTGAGTTTCTCTCTTGGAAGGAGAGATCACATCTTATTCAGCTTCATGTCTAGTACTTGTTCCATAAATGTGAATGGGTTAGAATTTTTAATCTTTACTCAAGTCAAATATAGTTTGAGATGTGGCAGGTCATGTAACACTTGAGGAAGACTGTTCTTGGTACTTTGGTTCAAGGACAACTGGCTAGGAAGCCATTCCTACTTCTCTGATGCAGTATACGTGTAGTGAGTATTGTGGATGTTAATTGTTGTCTTAAGATGAACTGCCAAACACAACAAGTGTAGATGACTACTGCCAACTCATTTGTTTTAGTAATTTTAATTATCCACATATTTTAAGGGGGAAAGAAGGCTAAATGATAGAGAATTTATTACATTGTATAATTTAATTGTATAATTTAATATAGGGTTTAGTATGTATTTTATGATTCCTGAATATTATTATGGATTCAGGTAAGTATTAATGAGTTGCTGGGTTTTTAGCAGTATAGCCCCCCAAAAAAATATAAGATATATTTCTTCCACTTGAAGCTTTAAAAAATTTTTTTTGATTAGTCATACATTACAGTAGAATGCATTTTGACATATCATGCATAAATGGACTATAACATCTCATTCTTCTGGTTGTACATTATGTAGAGTTACACAGGACCTGAAATCATATATGCACAAAGGGTTTTAATGTCCTATTCATTGATATATCCTTCCTATCCCCATACCCCCTCCCCTCCCTTCACTTTCTTCCGCCTAATCAAAGTCCCTAACCCCCACCCTCTTACTGTGAATTAGCATCTGCATATCAGAGAAAACATTTGGCCTTTGGTTTTTGGGAATTGTATTGTTTCACTTAGCATGATATTCTCCAACTCCATCCATTTACCTGCAAATGCCATAATTTTGTTCTTCTTTAAGGCTGGATAATATTCCATTGTGTATAGATACCAAATTTTCTTTACTCATTCATCTGTTGAAGGGCATGTAGGTTGGTTCCTCAGTTTAGCTGTTGTGAATTGAGCTGTATATAAACATTGACCACATCACTAYACTATGCTGATTTTAAGTCCTTCAGGTATAAACTGAGGAGTGGGGTAGCTGGGTCAAATGATGGTTCCATTCCAAGCTTTCTGAGCAATCTCCAAACCACTTTCCATAAGGTTTGTACCAATTTGCAGTCCCACCAACAATGTATGAATGTATCTTTTTCCCCCACATCCTTGCCAACGTTTATTGTTGCTTATATTCTTGATAATTACTATTCTGACTGGAGTGAGATAAAATCTTAGTTTTGATTTGCATTCCTCTAATTGCTTGATATGTTAAACATTTTTTTCATATATTTGCTGATTGATGTTTATATCTTCTTCTGTGAAGTGTTTGTTCATTTCCTTAGCCCATTTATTGATTAAATTATTTGTTGGGGTTTATTTATTTATTTTGGGTGTGTGGTGTTARGTTTTTAATGTATCCTGTAGATTGATGCTCTATGTGAGGTGCAGGTGGTAAATAATTTCTCCCATTCTGTGGACTTTCTCTTCATGTGATGAATTGTTTCCTTTGCTCAGAAGAAGGTTTTAAGTTTGAATGTGTCTCATTTATTGATTCTTGATCTTATTTCTTGTGTTTTAGGAGTCTTGTTAATGAAGTCAGTTCCTAAGCCAACACGGTGGAGATTTGGGCCTACTTTTTCATGTATTAGGTGCAGGGTCTCTGTTCTAKAGCCTAAGTCTTTGATCCACTGTGAGTTGAGTTTCATGTTGGGTGAGATGGATTTAATTTCATTTTGCTACATATGGATTTCTAGTTCCCCAACATCATCTGTTGAATTCCACAAAGTAGCAAGATATAAACTCAATACCCATAAATCAAATGTGTTCCTATACATCAGTGATGAATCCACTGAAAGAGAAATTAGGAAAACTACCCCATTCACAAAAGCCTCAAAAAAAAAAAAAAAGTACTTGGGAATCAATCTAACAAAGAGGTGAGTGATCTCTACAATGAAAACTACAGAACACTAAAAAAAAAGAATTAAAGAGGGCATTAGAAGATGGAAAGATCTCCCAAGCTCTTGCATAGGCAGAATTAATGCAGTAAAAGTGGTCATACTACCAAAAGTATTATACAGATTTAATGCAGTTCCTATTAAAATCCCAGTGACATTCTTCACAGAACTAGAAAAAGCAATCATGAAATTCATTTGGAAAAATACAAGGCCCAGAATAGCCAAGGCAATCCTTAGCAAAAAGAGTGAAGCAGGAGGCATCTCAACACCAGACCTTAAACTGTACTACAGAGCCAGAATTAAAAAAAAAAAAAAGCATGATATTGACACCCAAACAGACCAATGGTACAGAATAGAAGAAACAGACAAACCCACATAAATACAGTTATCTCATTCTAGACAAAGGTGCCATGAATATTCAATGGAGAAAATATAGCCCTGGAAGCTTTTTATCAGTTAATTATGGGAATGATAGCACATTGAATCTTTGATCATTAGATTCCAGCATAAGACGGTACATGTTGAAGTGCTGATGTTTCTAATAAATGTGCTGTGGCAGCCCAGTTAGAAAAGAAGAAGCACTGCTATTAGATATTTTTTAAGGGTCCACCTTGTACTATATGAATTTTAGTTATTACTATTTACACACCAAAAAATACTGTGGTGAAGTTAAGTATTCCATCTTACAGAGAAGAAAACTGAGGATCATATTGTTTGAGCCACGTAGGCAATAAGGAACGTCAGTTGATGGACACTAGTTGATTCCATATCTTAGCCACTGTAAATAGTGCTGCAATATCCACAGACGTGCAGAGGTCTCTTTAATGTTCTTATTTTCATTTTCTTTGTATATATTCCTAGTAGTGAGAATGCTGGCCCATTTAGGAGTTCTATTTTTGTTTTTTAAGAGAACCACCATGTAATTATTCATAATTTTCTGTCTGGTTTAAAGTTCATCCTTCTCAAATGCATGTTTCTGATTTTTAAGTTTACATTAATACATGTGTTTATTTGCAGGGTTTTTTGTGCCCTTTGGAATCCATACCTTCAATAATTTTGATATGAAGGAAGAACTTTCCAAGGCCTCCTATCACAAAGGAGTTCTTGCCCCTTATGTTTCCCTCTATCCTTCTGGTATTATACCTCCTTAAATTATGTGTAATTTTTTAAATGGAATGTTAATCAACCAACAAGCCTAAGACTTTTATTAGATGCACATAATTTTACTAGGCAACATGAAGGGCATAAAGAATTACAAACCATGCACTAAAACACATATAATCTGGTTGAGAAGAATACATAGAGACCTTTTGGGGGTGGGTGGGTACTGGCGATTGTGCTGAGGGGCATTTGACCACTGAGCCATATCCCCAGCCTCTTTTGTATTTTAAGTAGAGACAGGGTCTCACTGAGTTGCTTAATGCTTCGCTTTTGCTGAGGCTGKCTTTGAACTCCTGATCCTCCTGCCTCAGCCTCCCGAGTCGCTGGGATTACAGGTGTGCACCACCTGTAATCCCAGCGGATGCCCTGCAGGAATGTGTATTTTGCAATACATAAAGATACAGACAGTCTCTCATTCATTAATTAATTCATTCAGTAGGTAAAACCTGATTATCTCTGAATAATTTGCCTCTAAGTGTTTTTCCTCCCTTTTCCAGTATCTATGTTTCACAGATACTCAATAAAGGCCTATTATCTGAAGCAATAACATACATATTATCTTTCCCTGACCCCTTCCTCCCCACCCTCCAAG